ATATGCTACCGGGTACATTTACACTATATATGTATGTATGATTGATTGATTGATAATTTATTTCAACATGTGAACAATATACAAGTACATTTAGAAAAGAAAATAAGAGAGAAAAAAATACTATACAAATTACATACAAAAAAAACATTCGGATTAATTTACACGTTGAAAGGGAGTGGGAAGAAGTATACACTTATTTAATCCCACCCCTTTGCCATAAATTATCAGTTAATATTTAGTCAGCTTCCTTACTGATATAATTTGTAATAAAAAGTAGTGAACAGATTTCTGATATACTATATAATCACATCATGAATTTTTTGTTTGTTTTTTAAATAGAGACATTCACTTAATTTAAATATTTTCCTTTTCTTTATAGATCGAGAAGATCATATTTTTATAACTCTTTTTGAACAGTTTTATGTTTGGACATTGCTTTAATTCCATATTCAGACTGTTCTAAAGTTCCACTCCATGAACAGAAACACAAAAGCCTTTTCTTGTAGTACGTACCTTCATTGTTTTGGAGATGGACTGGGTGTGACCTCAGGTTTTGATTCTCTGGGGAGGCAGCTGAATATTGAGAAGTGCCAGAACAGCAATGTTACCATATCCACTATTACATGTTTAAACCAGGTTAAGTTGTCTGGGAAAGTGAAATGTTTTCCTTTGGGGATTTGCTGCGAGGCAAATACCAGACATAAGAAATAAAGTAGAGTAAAAATTACTGTGCAGTTTGACTTTCCTACAAGGCAGGCGCATCAGCATAAGGGTCTCTCACACACTCACACACACACACACACACAATATTTGTTGCCACTGCCCATCAGCAAGCAGTTGACTTGATGGCATCATGCTTTCATCACTCCCTTTAAGACTCATTTTCAGGTTGAGCTGTGAATTCTGCCGTGTCAGTGGGATTGCACCGGTGTGCTTTTCAGTACTTTTAACAGTAATCCAGAGGTCATTAGTCCGTCCTGCTATTGGGTGGTGGCACATGTAGAATCCTTGATCAGTCTTGGTCACAGCTTTCAGTGTCACGCTGCCCTCTGACTCAGAGCTTCCACTGGGATACACAAAAGGTGTTAATTTGCAGAAACCTCAGCACATTAAATAGCTTTGTAGAGCCCTTGTAGAAGCTGGTGTCAAAGTTGGAGGTATTTCTTTTTGGTTTCTATTGGTGTTGCTTTAGAGAAAGACAAGGCAGTCTGAAATCACATTTAGCATCAACATTTGGTCATTTTATTTAATCAGGTCTCATTCAGTGATGAAATATGTTAAGACTGCATCTTGTTCAGGCCAAAGTTTAAAAATTTAAAGTGAATTAGCTGGAATTTGAATGTTTCCAGAGGTTAGGGTTCACGAGTGGAGCATGAGTCCGATTACTGCAGCATCTCTAGTGACAAGTATGCTGTACTGGTCTGTCTGTGTGAAGAGAACAGAGTTAAAGTAAAGCTGACAGTTTTTCCACTGAACAACGTTCAAAAATGAAATGACACCATCCCCATTTCTTATATTGTAATTACACTGCAGAGGTGCACTGTTACATTGTAACGGCATATTATTTTGTAGGCTCATATGGTTAAGTGATTATTATGCTTGCAGGTGAAAGTGGAGCCTCAGCATGTCATGTCTTTCACATTAACTGCAAGGGAAGCAAATATTTATTTCATAATGAATTGTAGCCCATTTGATTGTTCATTGTTCTTTAATGACAAATATCCTTAAGGTAATCATTACATTTCACATACTACATAATTTTTAAAGCTGTGGATTGCAAATAAATTGAGTATTATTATGAACTGCCGTTTTAAGTTATAAATTACTTTGTGAATGTTGTCAAATAAATCACAAGCTTTATTACGAAGGGCTACAATAGTAAATAAAATCATTGCTAACCAGTAACCCAGATGAAATGGTTCACAGCTGCAACATCAGCATTAGGCACGCTGCCACCTTCCATACAGCTATACTGCCATGTGCTCATGAGTAATGGGACCCAGTACATATGAAATGCCAAGACCTCTAAGAGGAAAGGCATGAGAACTGTGTGTCCTGAAGAAAATTTGTCTAATTGATGAGATGGATTTTATTTAGATTAATGCCAACAAACTCTTGACACTAGCTTCTTTTCCGCACTAGATAGAGCCATTTAGCCTTTAGTCATGTTGAAGCATACTTTAACTTTATCTTTGTCTCTTCCTTCCCTCACTGGCCCCAACATCTGCTTGAGTAAGAAACAAGTGTACCAAACAGTGGACATGCAAACATAAAATAACTTAATATATTAGTTTTAGATAATAGATTTGAGTGTTGCAGTTTAAAAATGATTATAAGATTCCTTCTTTATAATTATTTATAATAAATTATGTATTAAAAAGGGACAAACTGTGCCTGGGGTCTCAAACTCCAGTCCTTGAGGGCTGCCACTTCAGCATACAGTCAAGTTCCATAGAGAATCTTTGTTTCTGTAATGTGAAGAGCAAATGACATAAATTATGCAGACTTTTCTATTCAAAATACATTCATGGCAAAGAATTACAACTATTGTGTCATACTGAAATAGAAAAAGATTAAAAACAAAAAACAACTCTACTACTATAGCCTCAGAGAGACTAAGATTTAACATCTCAGGTTTTTATAGTTGAAACTGTAAAACCAATTTTGATGGATCACTATGTGATTGTGATCCATCGATGCTTACTGCGTTTCCAGGGTAAAAGTGGACAGACAGCACTATATTAAATAGAGTCTAAAAGAGACATTTAAGTTTCCACAGTCATCCGAACTCTTTTGAAAGAAGCAGAAAAACGCAACTTGCAGAGCAACACACAGATGATGTGCCTCATGTTGTCATCCTGAGGTGTAAATTTAAGCTCATCTCCACCAGCTTTATTTCCAAGGGACCCCCCAAAACAAAACAAAACAAAAACAGTCAAGAGCTCAGTAGCACTGGAGACTCCCGACTGGCTGGCTAGTTGAAACTGGTTGAGTTCAAGCTTTAGGGTTAAAATTGCATACTAACAGTTAAACAAATAGAGTCCAGAAACAACTGCCACAAAACATGACCACTTGTCAAATATTATGTTGATCCCCTTGCTGCCAGAACCACCCTCACCTGTCAATTCACCTACTCCACTAGACCCCTGAAGGTGTGCTGTGGCATCTGGTATCAAGGTGGTAGCAACTGATCCTGCAAGTTGCGAATTGGAGCCTCCATGGATCAGACTCACTTGTCTAGTACATCCTACAGATAGATTCAGATCTGGGGAATTTGGAAACCTAGTCAAAACCTCAAATTTCTTGTTGTGCTCTAACCTGAGCCATTTCCGTTATGTGGCAGAGTGCATTATCCTGCTGTATGAGAGCCATCAGGGAATACCATTTCCATTAAGGGATGTACATGGTCTGCAACAATGCTTATTTTGCAGGCATACATGGATGGTAGGCCTCAAGGATTTGCAGACCAAAGTGCATCCTGGTGCCAGGTGTTCCCAGATCAGTATTATTCAGTTGACCTGCCATAGCATTATGCCTGATCAATGTACATTACCATATCTAGTCAATTTCACCATACCCTCTTCAACTGTCTTTAAGATGTTGATTACCAAACAGCAGCTGGAGTTGTCATTTTGCTCTCTGGGGCCCTGTATGGGCTTTTGTGGGAAACTTGCAGTGGTCTTTCCCACAAAAAGGCCATATAGGGCCATGAAAGCCATCCCATGTGGGCACTTTAAAAACTGATAAAGCAAAAAGCATATAACAATAAATATATCGTTGAAATGGCAAAGTTCAGCTTTATGGTTTTTTCCTAATGCAGTTGGCGATATTAATTTTTCACTATTTCTCCTTTAAACCCACAAAATGCTATCAAGAGTTCCTACTGACGCAAAGGTCAGAATGGTCCAAGACAAATGAGAGCATCAGTTTCAGGGCAACAAGAAAACCCTTCTTGACCCACACTCACAACCCAGTCAAACCCATTACTCACCTGGTTTGCAACTGTGCAACAAAAAGAGAAGTCTTTAAAAGTTCTGTTGGTGAGCAGGTTTGCAGGAGGTAAGCATGAACCCAGGGAGAACAGCCACATCAGCGAAAACCCATTAACAGGCCTGACTGACACACCAACAGGTAAGCTGAAGCAGGAGGGGAAAAAAAGATATTAGGGTAAGTAGTAAGACAAAGTACTACAGTGCTAAAGTAGCACTTACATGCTTTATCACTAGGAAAATGAAATGTCAATTGGGTGAACAGACTGTCTTCTTATCATAGATGAATGACAAGTGAATGAGAAGCAGGTGTGTGAGTAAGGAGCCAGCAGGAGCTTAACCCTCTGGAGGACGTCCCACAGTTGGTGACAATCTGCCACATTCACACCAGAGTAGGATAAAAGGCAGAGCAAAAGAGGAAATAAAGGAGGAAAAGCTGACGTATGTGTGGCTCCAAGTGATTGTGTTTGTAGTTTTATTATATTATTTCTTACATCCATCCAAAAAATGTCTTTATTTAGCAACAAATTACAACAGCATATACTGTAAATGCAAAAAAGTTACAAATGCACCATTTTAAGCTGTTAATTGATAGATGCTAGGCAACATGATGATGTCACAATATCTAATATAGATGAGAACCTTCATAGCAACCCATCATGTACACATCTGCAGAGTTTGGTTCTTCTTCTTCTTGTTACTCATATTGTTGTTGTTGTTAGTGTTATTAATTTTACACCTGCTTTATTTTTTGTGTTCTCTAAATCATTTTGAATTGCTCTAACTTTTAGGACTGGAGCTGTAGTTGTTGTTGTTGTTGTTGTTGTTGTTTTTTAACTATTTGTAAAAACAAGCATACAAAGACCTGCCTAACATACAGTGTTTCAACTGGCTTGGCGCCCAAAATAGTCACAACCTCCACATGTGATTCAACTGTGACGTCAGGACATCTCACGTTTTCATTGGATGGGTGCGGCTCAGTTTAAATACCTTCCAGCCGAGCCCCTGAGCTTTGACAGCAACAGCGCAAGAGCGGCTGAAGGCTCCAGGCAGCTGCTGGGACTCTGGACACCTGCTGCTACAGAGGCGGCACAAGGTGGGAAGATCAATAACAGAAGTACAAGAAACAGGAAGAAGGTGGTTTTGTGCAGCTGCAGTTCAGTTTTTGCTTTACTTTTAAAGTTGCTAGTCCTGCATAGTTATGTCATATTCATTTAAACATGCTATACTCTTTTAGGTTATGTTCTGTGATATGTCAAGACGTGTGATGTATTTGCAAAAATATTTTTAGCATATAGAATAACTTAAAATTATATTTCTGTAATTTTTGTCTATTAAATTTTCCTCATTAAATTTTTTTATATGCTATTTTTTCATCTCATAAATAAAATGCTAGGTTTTGAATAAATTCAGGTCGAAATTCTAATAACTGACCTACAACTGTTACTTTTATGTGTGTCAGTGCATGTGACCTCTGAATTTACTCATCTGTGAAGCAGGCATCGCCGTGTTTTGTCAACAATATGTGTTTATTTGTGCCCACACTGTTTTGAAGTGCAGAGTTAAGGCAGCTTTACTTAAGCACGCCCCAGAGCTGCAGAGTGAAATTTAATCCAAAGATATTGACAGGTTCATACTGACTACTGGCAAGATGTAAATTATGTCAAAGGTAAATAGGGGAAAGGTTGCAACTTCAGTAGTCTACCTGTCTCTCCGATTATTTAAATTATAGCTAATATAGGCTACTTATCTTTAAAAAAGTGTCTCTTTGGAAGGAAACTCCTTTCCAAAGAAGTAACACTCTCTGTACTTTCAGAGCTCATGCCCATGCCATACTTGTAATAGATAGGGGATCATGTGCTAAGAAAACACAGCAGGAGGCGTGAGGCTATTTGTGGACATACTCATATATAGAGAGATGATGAGGGATGGAAAAGTAGAGAGAGAGAATGAGAAACATAATCCTTGTTAATGTCATTTACGTACAATTGAAAGATTAAACTCCAACTGGAGCCAACATCTGACCACTTCTCAGTCTAATAAGGTCTCATCCTAGAAACTACCCCAACAAACTCAAAACTGATTCTCAGAAAGTATAATGTGCATTTATCTGATATGATTATACCTGATTTATGTTCTTCTTGTCACATTGTTGTGAATCACATCCTGCAAACTTATAGGAATATAGGTTTTATTAACATCTGGACAACTGGATGGAAAAACCAGTAATGTTATATATATATTTTTAAAAAGTATGCTATACTTTTTTCTGCACAACTTTTCTAATTACAAAAAGTTGTTACCATAAGAAAAATTAAGAAATCAAATCACAAAAAAAAAAATTACAAGAATCCAAATCGAAACTCAACAAAACCACAAGCATGATCGTAACACTGGGTTTGAAGGTTAACATTAACAATTCCACAAGTTTCTAAGAAAGAAAATTGTGCATATACTGTTCACTTAGAAACATGAGGATGGAAGAATGTGAATTTATTTACTGCACCAAGTCTCAGCCTTGTTAACATGATTTTTCTTCTTTCTTTTTAGAAGTCCATCACCTGGCGAGGTCGTTCCTCCTTTGTAAAATCTCCACAGCTGTTAAAGGCAATCAGTCATGTCATCTGCAGTGCTGTTCAATATGCTGCGTTGTGGTCGCTCCACAATCTCCAGACAAACCTTCCTCTCCATACGATCCTCACCAGAAACCTCCACGGCCTCTGGACAGGTGAATCTGAGACTTACATGTGATGTTCTGTTTCAAAATTATAAAATCATGTAATCCTACTTTCAGAAAATTGGAACAGAATTTAATTATTTGTTCAGATTGGGTTTGTTTGTTTTTTGCATGATTACAAATCCAGAGTTTTCTATTTACTATTAACACTTCAATCTCATTTGAAGCACCAGGAATGTGATTTATTTATTTTAGACATAGTGTGACGTGAAAAGACAGATTGCTTAAATATTTTGTCAATAGTGTTAACAAAAAGATCATTTTTTTGTCATTAGACATAAATTTTATGACTATTTTGGAAAATGGATTAGTTGCTGGTGAGTAAAGTAACCATGTAACGTCTTCTTTGAAACAACACAATTCTCACGATCTTATGATAAGAAAAATAAATCCCTGATCAGATTTTACACAAACAAGCTACAACAGTAGTCTAACCTTGTCCTGGATGATCGTCCTGTAGGTGGGCGGGGCATTGTTTGGGATGGTGGGCGTGCGGCAGGGAAGTGGATCAGTCGGATTGGACGGTGACATCAGCGTCCGTCCAGTGACCTGGGACTCATTTGGTATTTGGGACAACAGGATAGAAGAACCAATACTACTGCCCTCCAGTATCAGATATGGAAGACCCATCCCACAGGTAGGAAAGAGCAGTGGATGGATAAAAGAATAATAAATACACTCACCTGCCACTTTATCAGGTACAGCTGCAAATGCAAGTATCTATCAGTCAGTCACATGGCAGGCTAAAGGCTTTAGGCTAAAGTTCAAACTGATGCTAACATGTCAGTATGAACCAAAATCTCTGAGAAATATTTCCAGCACCTTGTTTAATCTAAGCCATGAAGACCTGAAGTACTTCTGCAGGCGAACTTGAGTTTAGTTGGGTACTGGCACCGTGTACCTATTAAAGTAAAGTAAAGAGCATAGGTTGAATAGATATATTCAGAAATGCACAAATAGTTAAGTATTGAAGTATACAATGACTGTTTTCAGTGGCTATTTTAAGGGCATGGTCACAGGTTCAAAAAGATTTTAACCTAACATGTTACATATCCCCCCATGGTTGGGACACATGAATGAAATGGCTAATCAGTCAGTTCAGTTTATCAACCAAAGGTTGTCTTCCTCCACCTCTCAGGTCAGTCTGTCTCGGGTCGGCAGTACGTCTGTTCTCGGTCTTAGGAATCAGAACGAGGACCGTCTCCGCATCGGCCGTATTCATGACAACCTACTGTACTTCGCTGTGTTCGACGGCCATGGTGGCCCGCATGCTGCAGACTACTGCTACACCTTCATGGAGAAATTTATCAGGTTGAGCATACTGCCTTTAAATATGAGAACATAAACAACTGAATACTGGACAAGCTGTGTAGTCATTAATGACTGCACTTCACAAAAACAGACAAACAAGAAACCTAAACTCATTTTTTTGGTGCAGAGATGCTTTGGAACAGGATGATGATCTGGAGAAAGTTTTAAAGAAAGCCTTTTTAGATGCTGACAAGGCTCTACACACACATCTCAGCTACTTCAACAATGGTGAGACACAAGTCATTTCTCTGAAGCCGTAAAGATTAAAGTGCTGGAAGCCAACATGGTAAAAAGTGATTCACGTTTCGAGTTTGTCAGGTCTTATCAGCAGGCACAATGTGACTTGTTGTATTTGTGAAATCTTTAAGATACCTAAAGGAAGTTACACAATATGTTAACACCAACTATGTCTTGTAGTTTCTAAGACATAAAACAAAAAACTAAATAGAGAACTGTGACTTTGCTGATAAAGAGTGAATCAAAGTGATTTAAAAAAGGGTTAGTATTGGACAACTGAATTTTAATTGTGATGCTCTGAAAGTAAATAGTAATAAAGAGTTCATTATTGTTATTCAGTGAGAGTAATGGACTTTTCAATGAAAAGTTGAAGTTAGCATAGTGGATAAATCTGGAGGTGACATGGTGCAGCTGTAAAGTGACTTAGCCAACAAATAAACCTAAACCCATAACTGGTTTAAATTTGGATCCCACCTTCAAGGTCATCTTCTTCTCTGACCAGGAACATGTCCCTCATTTTTATATTTCCTGGCTTCTGTACTGTGAACTTGTGCACCTCCAAGGGTGAATCCCAAACCACATATAAACAGATTTAGCGACTGATGGTTGGTCACTAGTGGACTTTCCAGGCTCCAGTTGCATAGGTAACCATATCTTTGCCATCTTCTCATATGCAGTGTTGGGAAGGTTACTTTTAAAATGTATTCCATTACAGAATACAGAATACGTGCCCCAAAATGTATTCTGTAACGTATTCCGTTACGTTACTCAATGACAGTAACGTATTCTGAATACTTTGGATTACTTAATATATTATCATGCTTTTTACAACAACGTGAATGTACTGTTGCTGTGTGATTTATTACTATTACTGAAGGTCCGCAACTCCGAACTGTAGTAAAGGGACCTCTGACTAATACGGCGGGGTCCCTGTCAGCTCGTAGCCGAAAAATAGCTTTAGTTTGTTGTGTGGGTCAATTTTTCTTGTGAGAGACAGAGAGAGGCGTTGAAAGGCTGCTCCAATGGAACTTATTGTTTCGGAGGAAAACACGAACACGGTGTACAGTCGAGTCTTAATAGCTTACTTACAACTGGGCTCGTCAGGCTCACTTCTTGGCTGAAGTGGTTATTATATTTACATGCTTCCAGCTCCCGTTTTTGCTCGATGACAACTCGTACCTTTCCACTCCCCTTTTTCTCCCTCCTCTTGCTCACAGACACATAACGTGTATGGCAGTCCATTCTCCCTGCAACACGGACTACACTGCCCATGATGCTACATTCTTTAGAGCTATGCTTGTAGCATTCTGCCTGTTAGTTTAGCACAACAACAACAACGAAAAGGCGCTCTCTCACCCAGGAAACACACAGTCGCAGAGAGAGAGAGAGAGAGCGTCGCCCTGTAACCATGGCAACCGTAACGCTGCCGCCTGGAACAACAGAACGTAGCTGTCAAACAAGACCCAAACAGTCCTGACCCGCGACAATATGAAACAGGAAAGTACCGCAGTGTAATCCATTTATTTCAACAAAGTAACTGTATTCTGAATACCACCTTTTTAAACGGTAACTGTAACGGAATACAGTTACTCATATTTTGTATTTTAAATACGTAACGGCGGTACATGTATTCCGTTACTCCCCAACACTGCTCATATGTCATGTGTTTATCAGCAGCATCCATTACTCTCATTGGTAGCTGCTTTAATTGAATAACAATGTCTCAAGTTTTACACATTGTCGCTACAAATCCCTGACATGCTAGTCATGCTAGTCTTTGCCTGTGTGGAAACACTTAGGGAATGATATTCAGAGTAAAACATATGAAAGCTAGAGTGTGCTGGAATGCGTTGACTCACAGTGTACTAAATACACTTTTTGAGCCCCAACACAATGTTCACTCACCACTTACCTTATTTGCCAGTTTTGTCTCCATTTAGTTGTAAGATGCTGTGACACAGTCCACCATTGCAGGTAATCAGTAGCTGAAAACAGTCCAGAGGTGGACAAGAAGATAATCTTGAAGTGTATTTTTAATTTTTAATGTTTTGATCACAACTTTTATCTTAAATGAATAGAAAAGCATTTTAATCTTTATAGTTTTGACACTTGTGTAGATAATAACGCAATGCGTTGGTTTAAAATCACATCAAACTAACATATACAGTGGGGCAAAAAAGTATTTAGTCAGCCACCGATTGTGCAAGTTCCCCCACTTAAAATGATGACAGAGGTCAGTAATTTGCACCAGAGGTACACTTCAACTGTGAGAGACAGAATGTGAAAAAAAAAATCCATGAATCCACATGGTAGGATTTGTAAAGAATTTATTCGTAAATTAGGGTGGAAAATAAGCATTTGGTCACCTCAAACATGGAAAATCTCTGGCTCTCACAGACCTGTAACGTCTTCTGTAAGACGCTTTTCTGTCCCCCACTCGTTACCTGTATGAATGGCACCTGTTTGAACTCATCATCTGTATAAAAGACACCTGTCCACAGCCTCAAACAGTCAGACTCCAAACTCCGCCATGGCCAAGACCAAAGAGCTTTCGAAGGACACCAGGAAAAGTATTGTAGACCAGCACCAGACTGGGAAGAGTGAATCTACAATAGGCAAGCAGCTTGGTGTGAAAAAATCAACTGTGGGAGCAATCATCAGAAAATGGAAGACATACAAGACCACTGATAATCTCCCACGATCTGGGGCTCCACGCAAGATGTCATCCCGTGGGGTCAAAATGATCATGAGAACGGTGAGCAAAGATCCCAGAACCACACGGGGGGACCTGGTGAATGACCTGCAGACAGAGTGGGGGGGTAACGGAATACATGTACCGCCGTTACGTATTTAGAATACAAAATATGAGTAACTGTATTCCGTTACAGTTACTGTTTAAAAAGGTGGTATTCAGAATACAGTTACTTTGTTGAAATAAATGGATTACACTGGGGTACTTTCCTGTTTCATTTTGTCGCGGGTCAGGACTGTTTGGGTTTTGTTTGACAGCTACGCTCTTTTGTTCCAGGCGGCAGCGTTACGGTTGCCATGGTTATAGGGCGACGCTCTCTCTCTCTGCGACTGTGTGTCGCAGAGAGAGATTCGTTGTTATTTCGTTGTTGTTGTTGTTGTGCTAAGCTAACAGGCAGAATGCTACAAGCATAGCTCTAAAGAATGTAGCATCATGTTCAGTGTAGTCCGTGCTGCTGGGAGAATGGACTGCCATACACGTTATGTGTCTGTGAGCGCTAGGAGGGAGAAAAAGGGGAGTGGAAAGGTACGAGTTGTCATCGAGCAAAAACGGGAGCTGGAAGCATGTAAATATAATAATAACCACTGCAGCCAAGAAGAGTGCCTGACGAGCCCAGTTGTAAGTAAGCTATTAAGACTCGACTGTTCACCGTGTTCGTGTTTTCCTCCGAAAACAACAAGTTCCGTTGGAGCAGCCTTTCAACGCCTCTCTCTGTCTGTCGCAAGAAAAGTTGACCCACACAACAAAGTAGAGCTATTTTTCGGCTACCAGCCGACAGGGACCCCGCCGTATTATGCTGGGCTTACACTGTGCGATTTTTTTCAGTCGCGCGATTCACTGTACGATTGACTCGCAGGGGTTAGAAGTTCATAGGTCACGATGCAGGGTCTCACACTATACTGCTGATGCTCTGATGCGACCTGAGTGCTCACACTGTGCGTCCATAAAAATGAAGGTTATAACAGAAATTCTGTCGCTCGCTCTCCCTCTCCGTCTTTCACTCACACAGACACACCACCACCATCAACTTTGCTAAATTGCTAATGAAAAACATTGGTCAGGCAGCTGTGATTGAGCAGCAGTGTCGATCCAACTATTTTCACGGTTGTTGTGGTCGTGATAATTTTGTGAGGCCACATCGAAAGGGCTCGGATGGTTCTACAGGTTGTGCCTCCATCGCTTGTGTCCAGATCACACGCTGCACTGCCGTGCTACGCCGTCTTTTTCGCTGACATTTGTGTTTGCGCGTGCGCAGTGTGGCAAACTGCGGTGACACCCTCACGACCAAGCGATTGATGATCGGGAGCTGGTCGTGAGGTGTCAATCGCTTCTCGTTACCCCACGTATACTACACGATGCACGACGCACGATGAAGGCCAAAATCGGGCCGATCGCCAAAACGATCGCACGACTCAAAAATCGGCCCAAAATGGGCCAAAAATCGCACAGTGTGAGCCCAGCATTAGTCAGAGGTCCCTTTACTACAGTTCGGAGTCGCGGACCTTCAGTAATAGTAATAAATCACACAGCAATAGTACATTCACGTTGTTGTAAAAAGCATGATAATATTGTAGCGGGTCAGGGCTGTTCGGGGTTCTGCTTGTACAGTTATGTTTTGTGTATGTTGCCGTGGTGACGGGTGACGCCCTCTCGCTGCGACGGTGTGTCACACATAGGGCGCCAGAGGGCGCCCTATGTGTGTTGTGGTTGCCGCGCTGAGCAGTTAGCTAGTGGCAGTGTGTTCTTCTGCAAATGTAATAAACGGCTGTGCTCCCTGGCTAGCTCACGGGAAGCAAGACCAAACGATACCTCCGTCTCCTCCTTGTCTGAACTCGCCACAATATATTAAGTAATCCAAAGTATTCAGAATACGTTACTGTCATTGAGTAACATAACGGAATAGGTTACAGAATACATTTTGGGGCATGTATTCTGTATTCTGTATTCTGTAATGGAATACATTTTAAAAGTAACCTTCCCAACACTGCCTGCAGAGAGCTGGGACCAAAGTAACAAAGGTCACCATCAGTAACACACTACAACAGCAGGGAATCAAATCCCGCAGTGCCAGACGTGTTCCACTGCTGAAGCCAGTGCATGTCCAGGCCCGTCTGAAGTTTGCCAGAGAGCACATGGATGATACAGCAGAGGATTGGGAGAATGTCATGTGGTCAGATGAAACTAAAGTAGAACTTTTTGGTATAAACTCAACTCGTCGTGTTTGGAGGACGAAGAATACTGAGTTGCATCCCAAGAACACCATACCTACTGTGAAGCATGGGGGTGGAAACATCATGCTATGGGGCTGTTTTTCTGCCAAGGGGACAGGACGACTGATCCGTGTTAAGGACAGAATGAATGGGGCCATGTATCGTGAGATTTTGAGCCAAAACCTCCTTCCATCAGTGAGAACTTTGAAGATGAAACGAGGCTGGGTCTTCCAACATGACAATGATCCAAAACACACCGCCCGGGCAACAAAGGAGTGGCTCCGTAAGAAGCATTTGAAAGTCCTGGAGTGGCCTAGCCAGTCTCCAGACCTCAACCCCATAGAAAATCTGTGGCGGGAGTTGAAAGTCCGTGTTGCTCGGCGACAGCCCCAAAACATCACTGCTCTCGAGAAGATCTGCATGGAGGAATGGGCCAAAATACCAGCTACTGTGTGTGCAAACCTGGTAAAGACCTATAGTAAACGTTTGACCTCTGTTATTGCCAACAAAGGTTATGTTACAAAGTATTGAGTTGTATTTTTGTTATTGACCAAATAATTATTTTCCACCATGATTTACGAATAAATTCTTTACAAATCCTACCATGTGGATTCATGGATTTTTTTTTCACATTCTGTCTCTCACAGTTGAAGTGTACCTCTGGTGCAAATTACTGACATCTGTCATCATTTTAGGTGGGGGAACTTGCACAATCGGTGGCTGACTAAATACTTTTTTGTCCCCACTGTACAGGGAATAAAGTTTGGAGTTATTGAAGGGCTATTGTACTGTCTATATATGTCTAAATAACCAATACAAAAAGTGCTTAAAGAAAAACTCAAGCTTAGAACTTTCTGTAAAGCATTTTGGACTTTATAATATAACAATCAAAAATTTCTGCATCTCGTCCTCTCCAGCCTCTTTCCTGACAGCTGGCACCACTGCAACGGTTGCTTTACTACGTGACGGCGTAGAGCTGGTGGTCGGTAGTGTTGGTGACAGTCGGGCAATGTTGTGCAGGAATGGAAAAGCCAACAAGCTCACCACAGACCACACACCTGACTGCGAGGACGAGAGACACCGGTACATGGTCCCCACTACCACAATAAATGTTAGCCCCTCTGGTTAATGAAACTTTCTCTACATCCACCAGTACAGTACTGCTATTACAATTACTATGGGCACTATTAGCGGCAATCAAATGACTGTGTTCTTGCTACCTTAAAATTATAGTATGAATCAACACAAAAAAGAAATTAATAATTAAAGTAATATTGACCTGTTGAATATTATAATTAGATTTTAATAAGATGCAGGAATATTTGAAGGGGATTCAGTCAAAACCACTTATAGTCCAAAGAGATTTGTACAGATAAAAGAGTTCAGAAGGGTTCAGGTTTCCCAAAAGCAGCTGGTCAAATCATTGTGTATAAATACACCCTGCAGCATGTTGGAGAGCCTACAGCTGGCACAGAGTTGGGGCTCCAGGACATCCCTGCAGAAATTAGATCTGGTTCATCCAGTACTCGAAATGAGATGTGCAGGGACGGACGTTTGGCTTTACCTTTAGCTATAAGCTGCTAGAATTATGTAACAGCAGACCAAGTCTTGTTTCACTTGAACTTAATCCAAAGCTAGTTAACGCTTTGGTGTCTGGTTTCTCATTCTGCAGAATGCAAAAACATAAACTTATTAAAGACCTTAATTGTTCCAACTGTTACTACTTTGGAGCCACTTGGGTCAGTTCTTCATGGTTCCCAATTGACATATAACTTAAATAAAGCAGGCTGAACCACAAAAATAGCTATCACTGTAAATGTTTACTATACACCTTGTGGCTAGTAGCTGTAAATAATATGTAAAAATAAAAATCTTGTGCAACTCAGTGTTTAACTAACTGTGAAACTAGTAATTACTAAAAACGTAGGAAAGAGCAACAGCCTTACAAAGTTGCACACAGCTGATCCTGGTCTTTGAGCGCCCAGACTTTCAGAATAGAGATGGTAATCCTGGGTGTGCATTTTTGTTCAGGATCCAGAGGTTTGGAGGTTACGTGACATGGAACAGCGTGGGTCAGGCTAATGTTAACGGGAGGCTGGCCATGACACGAAGCATTGGAGACTTCCACCTGAAAGCTAGCGGTGTCATCGCAGAGCCAGATACCCAACGACACACCGTAAGTTTTCCTACTGTTTCCTCAGTCCTCTGACTTTCAAGTGAGTTTAATATTTATTTAAAATTATATACTTTTACTTGCACTGGAGGAGTTATACCACACAATTAAAAAAGAAAAACATGGATGTGGCTTCAAGGTCTAAAAAGTGAGGTTAACACGGAAGTGTCTTTTTACCCAAATCCTTCCCAATGACTATGGCTGGGCCACATCGTATAGTTCACGGTAATATCGGTATAATGTTAGCCAATGATAAGAAAATAAAATATCGCGATAAAATATAGGTAAAACATGCATGCGCAGTGCCTTCATTTTCATATGCACATGACGGAAAAGCATGGCGGCAACGGAGAATGAGAAGGGCGAAAGCGGATTGTTGAATGAAACGGACGAACCAGAATTGCTGCAGCTTCAGTGGTGTGGAACTGGTTTGGCTTTCGTCCATCAGATACACACCAAATATAACCTCCTTTTAAGTTTGTGGATATTATTAAGTTTTGTGGTTATATTGAGGATATGTCAGCCCAAAATGCCTTTTGGTTAAACTGTCAGCAAGGAATTTGCATTTGCACTGTTAAATTTTTATATAACTTTAATACACATAAAAAAAACAGCTGCTTGTTTAAGTGAAAATACATTGATGGGGTTTTTTTTTTGCACTAATATAGTTGTGGAGTTGTAAAGTATTTTGTCTCGCGTCAACCATATCGTCAGTTATAGCGCTATCCCAAATTTTCAATAATATATCATGATAAATATTGTTGGCCATTTTGCCCTGCCCTACCAATGGCTACACAACTTCAGGTCATAAAGTCTGTGGGAAAACAGCCCTGAGTCTATGGTGACCTTGGCTTTAGAGTCACAGCCATGTCCATGTCAAGTTTACACTTCATAACGGGACTGGTGATGTCACATCCATATTTTACACGGTATTTCACATGGTTTATACACAAGTGTAACGGTACTTTCTACGGCTGAAATGTCAGAAAGCTCACCTGTCTTTTCCTGCAGGTCCAACATGCCAACGACTCGTTCCTGGCTTTGACCACAGACGGTATCAACTTCCTCCTTAGTGATCAGGAGATCTGTGACAGCATCAACCAATGCCAAGACCCCACTGAGGCTGCTGATGTCATCGCTCAGCAGGTTTTTCATTATTATTTCATCCACTTTTTATAAATTAGACAAAGAAAATGAGTAAAAATGTGTTTCATTGAATTGATATGGCTTTTCAGATTCAAATAGTCACCAAGTCTGCCGACATAAATAATGTGATTCATATTTTTCTAGGCGTTGCAGTACGGCTCAGAGGACAATGCTACAATCATCATCATCCCATTCGGAGCCTGGGGGAGACATCAGAGCTCCACCACAGTGTACAGCATGAGCAGGAACTTCATTTCAAGTGGGAGATGGGCATAGACGGCACAAAGACACAATAACTTCACAAAGCTCTGGAATTAAGTTGAAGATGACTTTAAGGATACAAAAATCTTTTTTTATACTAAAAATGATCCATAACCCCTATCAAATTTATTTGAAAACATTATGTTAGCATCAACTTTCCTTTGTTAGCGCTAACAAAAGAAAGTCCGTATTTATACAGTGTATAATGATAGATATATATATCTTGTACATACAGAGATTTGCTGTAGTGTTTGTATGTACATCATGTTTGTAAAAAGTTTGATTTGTGTTTGGAAAAGACGTTTTAAAATATAAGTGAGAAATCCAATACAAAATATCTCTAGCTGGGTCACATATCTCACTTCAGTGTTGATGAGACAAATCCTCACCCAGCTCCACATTCTCACCTCTGACCTTTGACCCACTGACACAGGGAAGAAGAAAGTTTGATATTTTAAACTGAAACATCATTTTGTTTCTGTTTTATTATCAGTGTCACTTTCTTACACAGACTTGTGTCAGTTTCGTTCACAGGTTAGTGCTCATAATTGAATTTGACTGTTGGCTAAATTGTTTATTACAATGAATTGGAAAATAAAGATATTTGAAAACAACTTCATGTTTTGTATTTATTTTACTTTGTTGTTTTTATACTTTCCCCCCTGAATTTTTATTTGCATTTTCTTTCCTTTTTAAATACATTTTTGTTTTATTATGAAAATGGGGGTTATTCAAAGTGTGTTATGAGGGCATCTATTAATGACTGAGGTCTGACTCGGGGGGGTTGAGTTTACAAGCTAAAGCAGTAAATCTCCTTGGTCTATGGGTCCTGCTTTGCCTTCCACACAGCTGGACTTCACAAAAAAACTGTCAAATGTCATATTTCATGGTTGCCTGCTGTTGTATGTATATTATTACAAAAAACAACGGAAGAAAAATTCCAAATTCAACTGAATGCATGCAAACAAACAGAAACCATAATATACACAATGAATTGAAATGCTTTTTTTTGTTGTACATTTTGTTTTCAGTGTCATGTAAGTAAGTAAAGTTTATTTGTTAAGCGCTACCATAGACAGGTAGTCACAAAGCGCTGCACACAGAGATTAAAATAAACAGTACAATAAATAGCAAAATGCACAGTATACACAATATAGAGTTCAAATGTAAATTAAAAATATAAAATGTAAAAAGCATTGGTCAACAGAAAGCTTGTTTAAACAGTAACGTTTTTAACTGTTTTTTAAAGGATTCCACAGAGTCAACCAAAGTAGTTGTAGAGGCAGACTGTTCCACAGCCTTGGTGCCACAGACTGAAAGGCTCTGTCCCCTTTCGTCTTCAGACGTGTTCTGGGAGCAACTAACAAACTCTGAGTCTGTGAGTGGAGACGGCGAGCATTCTCTAAATCTAAAATCTATTGGGAGCCAATGTAAAGAACATAAAATAGGAGTGATGTGAGCTCGCTTGCTAGAGCGAGTTATTAGTCTGGCTGCTGCGTTTTTTTTATAGCTTGGAGGCGAGAAAGAGATGATTTATCCAAGCTGGTAAACAGGGAATTACAATAATCTAAACGCGATGACACAAATGCATGTAGGATCAGTGCAGCTAATAACTGAAACTTAGCTGCTCTCTTGCCACAGTTTTTTAGGATAGTTTTTTTTCCAAAACATTTTTACAACTTTCCTGATTCTGCACATATTTTATTTTCTCAAGCAAACATAATCTATAACTACATATGTATAAGTAAACAATTCTGCGATTTTAAATTCTACTTTACAAGTAATTGAGATTTACAAGAAATACTTTAAAAAATAAGGAAAATAGTAGCTAAAAATAATTAAATAATTAAGAGGGCAAAGGTTTGGTCTGTTAGTGACATATATGATCTGATGGTGTGCTGGTTAATCTTGTTTGCATTTGTTTCTGTTAACACAAGCCTGAATACACACAGCTGGCCTTTCTGACTATATTCATGTAGCATTGTGATTTCCCAACACACAATGCTGTCATGGAAAGTTTCTCCGGGGTGGATTTTCCTCTCAGAATAGCAGCAGGAATCTCCTGCCACCTTGTGGGTAATGAGGTGTTCCGGTGCCAGTGTGTAAATATAGAAACCATTGAGATTCCTTAAATTTCTTCACATGGCCTCAACTTGACACTGACATTGCAACGGCACACTCACACACAGAGAGAGTATCTTAATGTATAATGTGTGTCAGTGACACTAAATACCCACAAAAAACAGTGACACACACACACACAAGAACTTGACCCAGAAAGCCTTGTGATGGACGGTGTGTTTGCTGACCTTCAGAAAATGTTGTAATGTTAGCACCTCTGTGAGGGAGTGCATGTGTGTGTTTATACTCATGTGAGAGGGCCAGTTAGAGATTTAGAAACCTGGCAGACCTTTAAAGTTTAAAGGTTGGTTTGAACTTTGATTTGACACTCGTGTTAGAATCAGAGACTTACAAATGTGGAGTTCAGAACCAACAGATAACAAATTGTAATGCACAATTATGTATATTTATGGCAGGAAATATCTATATATTCGCAACAAGAGCCACCTGGCACTTTGCTGTCTTCTGTCATGTGATTGGAAAAGGACGACTGAAAAGGAAGTAGGTGCATGTTTCCTTTGTGGGAAATTCTGGAGACCATTAGCACACTCTGGTCTGAGTGGGTATGATTTGGGGTAAGACATTTGTTTGGTTTTTAGCATTGTAGGTGGTCATTATTAGTGTGTGTTTTGGATTTTTTTTTTTTTGCTGTGGCCACAAGTTTTTATGGTCAAGTCCATCAAGACCTAGATGTACTCTGTAAACCAGTGTGACACAGCACTAATTCTAAACAGTGCTGAGACCCGACTTGTTTGCAGCACTTGGTAAATGGCCTGCAAATGGCCTGCATTTGTATAGCGCTTTTCTAGTCCCTAAGGACCCCAAAGCGCTTTACACTACATTCAGTCATTCACACACACATTCACACACTGGCGATAGCAGGCTACATTGTAGCCACAGCTGCCCTGGGGCGCACTGACAGAGGCGAGACTGCCGGACACTGGCGCCACCGGGCCCTCTGACCACCACCAGTAGGCAAACATGGGGTTAACAGGTGAATTGATTGCAGTGTTTCTCAAATAGGCTGTGGCAATTTGCAATGCAGTAACATTTGTTTTCACTTTTTGGTTTGATAGGTTGCAAGTTACAGCTTAGATATTTGTAGATTTTATGACTGAAGCTGTCTGGGAATTAATGGGGAATTTTACGTGATTTATGAAATAAATAAATATTACTTATTGATTTATTTTGGGTATTTCATCTTGGTGGTCTCTACTACATATTATTTACAATTTGTGGGACTCTCAATCCTAAAGCTCACCTAACCCTCCACCCTGTTACTTCCCCTACAATGTTAAAATTGAGGTGTGTTGCGTCCAGTAGGGGAAGCTGCTGTAGTGCAACGCAGAGGAAAAACACACACAGAAGAACTAAGCAGCTTAGAAAGAAAAGTGTCTGGACTTTAAGTTTCTTGAAGATGTTTCACCTCTCATCTGAGAAGCTTCTTCAGCTCTAAGACCAACTGGTCTTCAAGAAACTGAGAAGTCCACTCAGTTTTCTTTCCAAGCTCCTTGGATTACCATGACCTAGGTGACTGAGAACCTACACAGACAGGCACACAAGAGTTCAAATTTCCTTTAAAAGTTAGACTTTTAAAGAGAATTTACTCCAACATAATGCAGTTGTTACTATTAGTGTCACAGGAAATCAGAATATGTGATCAGAAATAAGTCCAGTGTGGAAAACATTGGGTATCAGTATTAGGCTCAAGTGCAGCCCTGCTCTCTTATACAGATGCTGTAATGATTATTTAGGTAAAACAGGTAAAACAAGTCTCTGTACTTTTTAGACTATTTAGAGTCAAATTCTATCCATTATCATAATACACGTATTCATGTATACATTAATGTTGCAACTAGTTTGTTTAGTAATAGAGATGGCACGATACCACTTTTTTATGTCCGATACCGATACCAATATCATAAATTTGGATATCTGCCGATACCGATATGAATCCGATATAGTGTTTTTTAATCAACAAAACTGTTTTTTTAAATATCTTGCTGCATTTTGTATAAGTTCATACTCAAGTTTAAAACAACAACTACACTAAAGCTATTCTGTTATACCTGTATGCAAAAAAAAATATTTCATAGTTCAGCAATACTGATCAATCTAATAAACTTAAACCTACACCATCCTCCCTATTCTGGTATTTTAAAGAGTACTTAGCATAAATATTAAGCAACCTAACTAATAGGGTTCCAACTCCCAGCAACAACAAAAATAAATAAATAAAAAATAGGGAACCACCCCTCACGCTCCACCTCATGATGCTTAATCGACGTAATCAACCTTAATTTGATGCAGTGTGAAAAAAAATGCACAGAAATCAATTATTTTTCAAGAAATATTAAATAGATTCAACATCTTTCTTCAACAGAATTGCAGACTGCACAGATGGTACCTTCCCAAAGGAAAAAGTACTATAGCTTACAAGGGTATATTAGACTTAACAGTTACTATATACAGTAATTGACTTCTATTCATTTTACATCAAATTAAAACTTTGGGTGTCAGATAATTATTTATTAAAAGCTAGACATTTTAAATGAGAATAAGAAAGAAAAGTATGTCTTTGTGCCCCCTTTTCCCTGTTAATGCCCTATCGGCCCCCCTGGCTAAACTTTGCTAGATCCGCCCCTGCACAGTTACCAGCGTCAGCTACGTAGAAAAAGATCCTGGTGTAGAAAGTAATTACATTTTTTTATTTTTCTCCGATATCCGATCCAGTAATTTAGGTCAGTATCGGACCGATACCGATACGTAATATCGGATCGGTCCATCTCTATTTAGTAATAGCCATAGTACCACTCAACAGTAAAATAAGTAAGAATTTAAAAGTTGCTGTAAAACAGTGTTGTTTTACAGCAACTTTGATGTTAAAAAAAAAAAAGCTTCAGAGTTTTCGCCTTTTCTCCCTCCATGTAATGTTGCTGTGTGGACATATGTACACCTAAGCTCTATTTGTCAGTAACTTTCTGTTTAATTGTAGGTGTCTTTCATCCAATCTCACTTCTGCTCTGTAATTATCCTTATTGGTTTCACCTGGATCTTACTACACTCCTATTATACCAGTTCCTAAAAGACCGGACACCTCTGCCCTGAATGACTTCAGACCAGTGGCACTGAAACCAGTCGCTATGAAGTGTCCAGAAAAAATGGTTTTCACACACATCAATCACATGGTCCTGGACACCACAAACCCCCTCCAGTTTGCATACCGTCCCAATCGATCAGTGGATGATGCAACAGCAATAGCCCTGCACCACACTCTGCAACACCAGGAAAGCAGCAGAACATATGTCAGGATGCTTTTCCTGGACTACAGCTCTGCTTTCAACACCATCCGCCCGGGTAAGCTGATCGAGAAGCTGACAGACCTTAGCATCCTGACTCCCACTTGAAACTGGATACTGGACTTTTTGACAGACAGACCACAGGTGGTGAGAATGGGAGGATGTGTGTCTGCTGAGCTCACCGTCAGCACTCG